AAAAAAAAAAAAAAAAATGCATGTGCTTTTTAAAAAAAAATGTCTTATAATAAAAATCAATCAATTTTTTTTATTATATTACTATAGACTATAGATATATGTACAAGTTATCAATTATATGAATCTAACATACTTATAGAAAATAATAATTATAGAAAACAATAATTATAGAAACAATCATTATTATACGTACTAGTATTCGACCCTATGAATATATCCAAATATAAATAAAGTATTATAAGTTATTATATGCATATAATCTTAAAATTATAAGTTAGATAATCATATTAAATTTTAAACATAGAGTATTATAAGATACATTTACACATATAATACTAAAATTATAAGTTACATAATAGTATCATGTTTTAAAATAAATAGTAGACACTATTTGGTTGCATTAAATCACTATACTGATTGCATAAAATTTAATAAATAATGTGATTTTAATTTTAAAAGATCATTACCAATTAATATGTTGAAAAATATTGTATTTATTATAAAGATTGCTAATGCGAATTTAAAGGATTTACTATGACATTTAAGCAAATTAATTTATTTAAAAATAATCGCTTAATCGGAGAAAAAAAATATAATATTGATTTTAGAATAAATAACTTGAACAAAAAATTTTACAATATAATTGTTTATGTTTATGTAACTTTTATATATCATTTAGTGTAACCTATATTTATTAATACTAATAATACTATAATATGATACAATAAAAATAATATAATTATTACTCAATTAATATAAAATATAATGGTTACTGTTATATGATACAATAAAAATAATATAATTATTACTCAATTAATATAAAATATAATGGTTTTTTTGTCTTAATTGTTAGAATTAATTTTTGGAATTCGTATAAAATGGTCAACCCATTGGAATATATTAGTAGAACATGAGGACGCCGATTCGCAGGCTATCCTCCACCCTCAAAACCCTCCACCCAAACCCTACCTCCACGGCCGCCGCCATTGCCATCTGCTCATTCTCCACTAATCGAACCACCGGAAAGGGCCGAACCAGGGAAGACGAGTGGAACGACGCCTGGAAAACAGCCTGGCTTCCCAACGACTTGACCGGAAAATCACAACGCGCCCCATGGGCGTCCAATGTCAGCCTCTCCCTTTTCGTTGCGGATTAAAATCCCCAAACTTCCCCCTCCTCCCCGACGGAGCAGATGGATCCCGAGACCCAGGCTTTTGTAGAGGACATGAACGATAACTGGGATCAGAGGAAGGGCAAATCGGTAAAAAAGGACACCGATCGAGATGCCGGCAATCCAGGACCGGGATCGGGATCTTCGTCTTCTTCTTCATCGCTTTACAACTTGGAGAACATCAAGAGTGATTATAGGCTGACGAAGCAGAAAATTCACGCGGGGCTGTGGGTGAAGGAGATTGAGAGAATGGAGGAGGCTAAATTGGGGGATTCCGTTCATGGCGACGACGATATTGAGAAACTACTCGATAGCGCCTCTGAGTATTTCACTTCTCCACACATTACCATTACCATTTTTATAAGAAAACAAAGCAAAAATCTTTGTTATATGTTAAAGATGAGACTTCTGTTTTAGTTTTAGCTGTAATTGGCTGCATTCTGACATTGCAAGCTGCATTATGTGAGCTTTCTAAATTGTGTTTATGGTTTTCTAATGAATATGATTCTGGAACTGGGGATGGTACTTTAGGCTCTTGTTGTACCTTGTCAAGTGCTTTTTTGTCTTTGTTCCTGTTTGACTGTATGTTGTGATCATTTGCAAACTTATATGACCACACAGTAGTTTTAAACATCATAGTTGAGACTCGGAAGCTTAGTATTCATGTCAATTTCATGAAGTTTGATTTAATTTAACAGGCGAGCCAGTATTTTATGTTCTTGAGGATTTCTTTGAAGCATATCAAAGTGTAACTTCTACTTGGAAGATTAAATAATTAAGTGATCCATTCATACTTAAAGAACGTTTTGAGTCCATGCGTGCGGCGCTGTGGGCTAACTCTCCCCATGGCCTTGTTGCTCAACAGGAACTAAGGTTGCTTATAGTGATATGAATTTGAGAAGTTTTTTGATCATGTTCTTAACTGCTGTAAAATATTGTTCTCTGCTAATAATAGGGGTACTGCACGATGAGGAAATCATTTATGTGCTGGTTGCGGTCATGCTTAAAACTTGATCATTAAAGGAAAATTTCGATATTACAGACATCTTCTGATTCTTATATGTCCAATTTATGTAGGATATTTGATTCTGCAAACAATGATTTTGGGGACCCAGAAAATGCCGGCTCAGAGTTAAAAAACAAGCCTGATGGCTGGGAAACAACATCAAAAGCTCAAGATGGCAATGTTTGGGATATGTCACAAAGAGAAGAAGATATTTTAGTTCAAGAATTTGAGCGACGTATTGCGTTCAATAAATTCAAGGTTCTTCGAGCTCAACTTAATTGTTATTGTAGCGCTAAGCTTTAAAAGTTTTGCTGTAGAGTACCATTCATACCATTCTTTTTCCAAATCATATAAGTAATATACAACTTGTGAGATCTCTTTCTTCTCAGTTATAATTAGGCTAAACCTCCTTAGTGGTAGGCTTTTTATCAATGTGGTTTCCTTTACTCTTGCTCATTTATTCTCATGTTTCATGCATTTCTGGATATGGTTTTCAGATTGCGAGCTTCATAAAAACTCACATATTTAGCCGGAGGAGGCCCATTGATGGATGGAAGTACATGATAGAGGAAATAGGATCAAATGCGAGGAAGGGTAAAGGAAGTGTTTCGAGGCTGCCCAGTGTGTCGGAGGAATCCACTCAACCTTTCAGAGAGGAAAAGCCTTCCACTTTAACCGGCACTTATTCTTCTGCTTCAAATATAAACGTTTAGAATAGTGTTGTGTCAGTGAGCAAATGTGGCAGAAGAAGCTTTGCCTGTTTTGTCTTTACCTCAAAATGCCTCACATAGACCTCCGTCTCCTCAATCTTTAGTTTCTTCCACGCCTTTTGATCCGCCGGTCCAAGCAAGAAGGTATTCGGCGGATGAAAAGGCTTGGAAGAAACTCAAGATTGAGGAGATGGAGGCCTTTGTGAGGCATTCAGAGGTGAAGACAAAACAAGCAAAGCTTCTTCTGCAGTCCATCAAGTCCAATTACTATTAATTTGTGTAGGTATTTTAGCTTACTCTGTGATGGCTCCATTAGATAGTTTTCTTCGTGTTGCAATCATGCTGCTTTTGTTAAATATGTCTTGGGCAGTGCTATGTGATATTTTCTCAGAATATGAAGCCTGTTTATCTTTTTAAGTTGCACTTTACTCTATTTTGTGGTGGAAGTTTGTATGTCCCAGAGTATATGGGGGCTCCTTGGTATCTATATAACTACATTATCAGTTTCCTTGTCAATTTTTAAGTATGAAATCAACTGATTAGCCATATACATTGAATCAGTTTATTAGTATGAGCAACTTGGATATCCGAACTTTGCTCGTTTTCAGATGATCTTTTGTAAGGATATGATTCCTTGGAAATAGTCAGTCACATTTACGAGTGTGAAAAATTGCAGCTTAGGTGGAAAATTGGTTGGAAAACTTGTTTTTGTAAGTTTGGGTCGATCTACCGAGGGTTCATTAGACGTGTGTTAGTGAGCAACGATATTTTCTTCTCAACTGAAACCTCAAAATGATGCCTTTTTGCGTTCCTTTCTACTAATACTAGCCAATTTTAAAATGTGTTGAGTTCGTCCAGTCAAAAAACTAACAAGTGAACAGTTATTAACAGAAAAAATGCATGTCATTAACTGTGGCTCAGTTTGTATGGGGCGGGAGAAGAAATAACATTTTTGTAATTTTCATCACTTTTTTGTCATTTTCTTGAGTCCATTTCTTATTTTTGTTTGACAAATAAAGCAAGAAGGCAAATAGATCATGGCACTTTTGTCTCCGTTGGTGTTGTGTTTTTACTTTTTAGTTCACCTTGATTTTAGGAGTACAGAATATCTTTTGGGCATTCACGCGGGATCTTTATGCTCCATTTCAATTTTTATATTCAATACACTAGTTTGTTCTCGATCATGCACAAAACAGTCGGCCGAATTCAAGTTTTAAATTTGTTTTAACTAACATGTACGTTAGTACTATATAAGTCGTAATTGTTCGTATCTAACTGGAAGACTAGTAAGCGAATCGTATATGCTCACATTGGAAAATTGTTAGTGCACATGAGGGACAAAAATTAAAAATTGCTAAATTAATGAATTAGAAAAGATTTTAGAGTGCGAAGTAATATCGAAATTTGATTCTATTAAAAGATGAAATATTATTCTGAAAAGCGTGTTAGAGTTTTCGAAAAATAAATTCAGTAAAAGTGCGTATGTATAGATTTGTTTTCTCATTCATGGTACTAGAGCAACTAAGGTCTTCTAGTTAATTAGAACACTAGTTAATTACTATCCTTAACAAGATTATTTTCCTCTTATTGCACGGCTCTCATATCCTCAAATAGTCCCAACGACCTTATGACCCATCCACCATAGACTCTTTACTAGGTCGAATATATGACCTCTACTTGTGTGACCTCATACAAACCCCTCATTTATCCGAACTCCACAAAGTGCTTCGCTCCTGATCCCTTCGTTTAGGTCGACCCATACATTAGACTGCTCTACCAAGCTCCTTGATGAAGTTGAGACTTAACATCAAGCTGAAACTCCCTTGAACCAGTCATAACCGATCTAACCACTTAGGCCAGTTCACCGTGCTGTCATGGGTGTTATATCAGAACAAATGCTCGTGATTATTCGATTATTACACTGATTATACTTTAGCTTTGCTTGTTGCTCCGTTGCATGCACATATTTATTTAAAGTTGCGCAAGTATGAGCAAACGCCTCTTTTGTTAAATTTCTTTTCTAGATTGCTCTTTAGTGGGTCTCTTTTCTTAAAACTACACTGAACGGTGTGACTCAAATTAACCTTTACAATGTTTATATTTTAAATAACAAATAAAATCATACTTCCAACAGGGTGCGTGACTGTAACAAAACCAGAGGTAGACAAAATGTGCGAGTATTGGAGCATATTTAGGTTCAAATGCCATATAAACCAAAGGAGTTGTTAACCTTGTATAACAATATAATAACCACATTTTATCTAACAATATGTGATGGTCACATTGTGGTTTGGAAATTGGAGGATTAACGTTGGATGCTTGATTTTTTTTTTTTTTTAAAAAAAAGGTGGAGGTAAAGATGGAAAGAGTTCGTGGGATATATAATGTTCTCGTTTGAAAAATAAATAAATAAATAGCTTTCAATTACGTATAAATATTAAAAAAATAAAAGAGAGAAAACATCGGTCAAGTACTACGTTTCGGGGGAATACTTTGGTACTTTGGGGCGGAGGTGCGAACCATACTGGATTTTAATATGATTAGATTGAGTAAGTGAAGCCAAAATTTTCATATATTTTTGTCACTTAGCCTATATTTACCCCGTCCGATCCAAAGAGCCTACGTTGCAATCTAGAAAGTCCTGTCAATTCACAGTTTAAGAATTTTAATTATTTTTTAGTAGAAATTAGATGATATGTGAGACTATGGCGACGGTCTGGGGTAGGCTTCTATTCCCTTCATGTCACTCATACCCTAAGGAGTAGCCGCTCATGAGCCATCCCATGACTCAATTCGCTACAGTGTTTCATTCGGGACCCCCGGCCAGGGGTTCCCTCATTCAAAATCAGACACTAAAGAGAAGAAGACATATCGAGGGAGGAATCTTTTTCGACCGATAAGAAATCGAGTGAGGCCTCCATAGGTACCCATGCTTGAGAGTGTGTCATGTCAAGGTATTTATTCAAGTTATCGGTTGATGCATATGTACTTGTCGTTGTTGGAATTCATCTCGATCAAGATTAAGTTGAACGATTTGAAACATTTCTTGTTAAAATCGTTCTTCACGCTCGATTCTTGATTTTATTTATTTTATTTTTGTTCGGGACAAACAAATGGTCTTAGTGTGGCGGAGTTGTTTATCTTATTTTTGTTATTATTTTGATTTTATTTGTTTGCCAACCTTTTTCCCTTACTTTAGATATTTTTCTTAGCAAATTCGATCCACATAGTCAAGTTTCGTGCGTTTCATGTTATTAATTTTATATTTTTTGTATTTTCTTTCATTGTTCTATCGTTTTTCTTTTCTTTTTTTTTTTGGTGAAGGTATACAGATTCAGGTTTTCGATCAGATGAGAGGTCGATCAATCCTTGAGATAAGTTCTATGACAGAGGCATGCACCAGTTCACGTATCAGTTATCGGTGTGGTTGTCATTCACAAACTGTCGTCGAATGCCGAGATGAGTGAACCCTCACATCGATCAGAACCCGAGGAACACAAGTCAAGACCTTTGAGACCAACTGGGACACCAAGCACTGGATCGTACCAGTGAGGGACCTCGAGCGCGAGCGTCGCGCCCATGAGTGACCCCACGCACTACTGCGCTGCTGAGGCTCTCACGCCAACAAGGGCATCATGTTCGTGACTGAGGACCTGTCGTGCCCGCATCATCCTTGGTTTGTAATTTCAAATTATAACTCAGCTTTGTATTTAAGTTTGCATTTTCATTTGTGCATGAATGTGAATTATATGATTGATATGATTGTTATGATTGAATTAGAGATGAAGAGCAAAATTCAATTGCTAAAGATAGGGAATAATTGTTCTAGTTCTCGTGATTATCATGCTCTTGAATTGTTCTTATTCGAGTTGCTTGATTTCTAGGGTTAGTTGATTGATCACCGTCTAATCTAGTTTGATAACTCTAGAACTGAAAGGGGAGGAGTTGTTCGAACCGGGTTCGTATAGAAGCTTGTTCATTCCAGAAATTCTATATGAAGCCATTGGATGGTTTTCTTATGGAGTCATCCATCACTTAATGTATTAACACATGTCCAAAGTGTATTTATTGTAGGACACGTGTCAATACACTATTGTGAATATATGTGCATTGCTCCAAAAGTCATGTCATCCGATGGCTCCATAGCAAAGCTGCGTTCGTAATTGTATTTTCTAGTGTTATTTGTTTGTTTCAGCAATTTTCCATTTATGTTTGTTCTCTTGTTATGAAAGGTTATTGAGGATAAATCTCTAAACATATAGGCTAGTCGAAAATTTTAACCGAATAATCAATTGTTTGATATTTGCTTTTGGAACTAGAAACTATTATATCCGGCTCCTTAACCCTTTTATCAATATCTAACTCTCATTTCAAATTTGAAGATTCTGTGTTTAAATTTTTTTGACCTGTAGATGTTAAAACAAACTCCAACTAATTTAAATTAGAGTGCTTAGGATTTGATTTACGCACTTTTTTTTTTGTCAGAATACACGTGTGAAAGATCCGGCTGGCCTTCCTTCAGATACAACCTGCAAATTGATTCATTTGGATTAACTCGGGTAAAAAAAAAAAAAAAAGACTACAACACTTAACTTGGTTGAGTAGAGAGAATTGTTCATGCATTCTTGCTAGAAATTAAGGTGAGTATGGGTCGGTACGTTTCGGAGATTGCAAAATCTTCATAACCGTAGGGAAATTCGGAGATCACTAAATTTCGATCTCTGGAATCTTACCAAAAAATCAGAATGGTTCAGTTCGAAAATTTCATTTTTCCGTTTGGTTTGATTCGCTATTCGGGACTATCAAAACGGTTCGGTTTTTTGTTCCGTTCGGATCCTTAAAGATTTCTAACTATTTTTCAATTTTTTCTTGAATGACTACCTAGTTATATTTAAGTTTTTATATGTTTTTTTATTTTTTTAAAAAAAAATCCAATATTCATCAATACTTCATCAGCTTCAAGATTTTATTTTGAAATCAACTTGAGAAGTAAATCTAAATTTAGTTAAGATTAAATTTTTGCAACAAATAATAAAAATTTAAAATTTAAAATATTTCTTTAACCTTTCAAACCATTTTAAATATTTTTTTTATAATAGAAAAAATTCACTTGGAGATCAAATATTACTAAGCATGAAATTTAAGTGAAACTTAATTATTATTACTACATTTTATTTGCATATAAAAAAATTCGAATTATATAGGATCAAAGTTGACATAAAATATATTAATAACACACATCTCATGTTATAATTCAGTTCTTAATTCCTGTTTTTTTGGTTTTGTACGGTATGAGATAGTTCGGTTCGGTTCTCAATACATATATTTGAGAAATCTCTGTACTAATTATTTTTTCGATTCGGCCCCGTTCGAAGAAAGTCAAATGGTCAACGATTATTTTTGGTTTGGAGTGATATCAGTTCGGTTTGTGAAACGGTTTAAAGTTTTTCGAGTCTCATGCTCAGCCCTACTAGAAATTCTTAACTTCAACTTGAACTTTCGGTCTTATTGCATTATTTAATTGGCTGTCAATATATATATATGCATTCCTTATTGACCAAAAATATATATTTTAAGTTATCTATAAATTAACTATTAATTTTAGGAATTAAATTTGAATAAACCCATAAATACAATAAAAACTAATAAATTAATTTAACATGAAATTTTACAGTTGTCACCATTTAACTAGCACAAAGTTTATTTGTATTTTTTTTTTTCAAAAAGATAGACTTCATTACCAATACACATAATGACAAGCGGCTTACTAGTCAAACGAACCTGCCACACACCGGAATTAAAATTTGAAGTCTACACCACCGGTAGCCTAAAAACCACAAAATAGACACAGACATAACACATATATAAAAGCTGCAAAACTCCGACAAGTGAAGAATAAGTTCTCCCACGAAGAGAATAAACACGAAAACATAGAAAAAACACAAACCATAGAAGAAAAAGAAAAGAAAAGAAAAAACTAATAACTAGACTAAGAGTCCTCCCCACCTACAAGAAAACAACCTTGTACCACCACCATACGAGCCAACACTCAAAACGAACGACCAAGAGAAAAGCTCTCGGACCATGGCTCAACACACAGGATCCATAAAAACCCTTAATGTCTATTCAGGGTCCTCTCAATAGTTCAACACTAAACCAACCCTGGGGACCCGCACCACAACCCTCCCCACGCATACACTGAAACTTGCAACACTGAAGCACCGCACTCGCTTGAGGGATCCGTCATGCCGGAAAAAAAAAGGGATGACCAAGCACCTCATCACCGACCCTCACACAGCGACAATTGAGGCCCGTCGTCGCAAAACCCCAACAAACCTTTGGACACTCGCACCCACCATGGCAATCGGAAGAAATCGAAGGTGAGACCATGCATGGGGAAACACCGACCTACCAATAAAAGAGAGGCAGTCCCGGAGCCATCCTAGGCGCTCGTGAGACATCGACGGTGTTCAGGACTCCCGCCGGTGATGAGGCATACAAAGTAAGTCAGGTTTACAGCCGAGGGAAATTAAGGATTTACTGCTACAATAAAAAATGAGGATTTCTTTTTAGCACCTTTAGGGTTTGTCTGTTTTTTTAATTTACCAACAAAAAATTCAATATAAAGTCAAAATTTAACTCAATTTTAATTCAATCCTATTATCATCAATATTATCAATATAATTAAATGAGATCAGTCAATCATACTTACAAATCACTTCAACTTTAATTCACTATTCATCAGCTTACATAATTTCAACTACATACAACATCCAACAAATTCCTCTTCTAATTTTGCAACAAATCAACTTTCATTATTTTATTTTAAGTATTATTTTAAATATTCTTCTAAAAATTAACCAAATCAACTTTTTTAAAATTAAAAATGATTAATTAGAAAAATATAAAAAACTTAATTATTTGTAAATAAACCTTTACCTAATCACTATCACAAAATTTATTTGTCTACAATCCCAAACATAATCATTACAAAATTGCATGCTTATTTTTTTTTTATAGCCAGCTACGGTATTTGGAATTATGTTCCGACTAATCTGTTGGTCAACCCGAGTCACACACCTAACAGTAGTGACTAAGTCTCTCAATAAGAGTTTTCTGCATTTACAATGACTCGAACCCGAAATATTGCTTAAGCAACCCTTATTGGTAAAGGGCATGCTCATGTAAAAAAACAAAAATGGTATATTGTGAAGAGCTAGTCAAACACCCTCACTAGGCAACAGCCATCCGAATCTCGCCACGTGTGAATTGCAATGCTGAAAGCAGTCAACCTTTTGACCGGTGGAATCTTATCCACAAGTTGTCCTTTGTAGTTTGCATTATTATTAACACTTCAACAGTCGGGGCCCCTTGTAAATCTATCCGGGTAAGGTTTTATCTCCATTTTCAACACATAAAAATTATATTATATATAAATAGAAGAATAAAATTTATACAGTATATATGTTTTTATTTCATGGATTTATTATCTTTACCGAAAATAGGGACAAAAGGGTTGTTTTAGATTTTTCTAAAAAAGCTAATTTATTTTTTTTACAAAAATAAAATATAATTAATTATGAAAACATTTTCCCTTATAATTTCACTTAAGGTACAATCATTAGTCCAGTCAACTGTAAAAGATCTAGTCCAGTCAAATCGAAGATCATCAAAAGATGATTAATTTGATATATAATATGTGTAAACCGAAAAGAAGTACAAAAGTTATCAACTTTTAAAATACATTTATAATTCAATAGTTAATTGAAGGAAACAAATCAAAGTCAGGGATATATTAGTCAATTAGTGCCTCACTATACAAAATTATAAATAATTAAAGGGTTATATTAGTACAAGTGATATTAAAATACCTAAGTTAGCTAAATAATATTTATGGAATGTCCGAACCTAAATTATTAATTATTAATATACAATATTATTTGTCCAAACCTAATTACGAAGCATGATTCTTCGCCAAGTAAGATTTTGAACCACCAGAAGCAGCCACGTAGGCTCAACGCATTCTGAAATTATATATAGGGAGGATAGTCCGAGAGGGGAATTAAATTTAGAAAACACAACTTTATTTTTATCAATTATATTGGCTTCTAATAAAAAAAAAAAAAGCATCTTTCGTCCAAAATAATTTGAGTTGTTCTATGTTCGACATAATTTCGATGCCCTCTAGCATCCTTAGTCCAATAAAAATTCATTTACTCATCAATATTCCGTTTGAAATTATATGCACGAACTCAATTTTTGGGCTAATTTTATCTGTAATAAATCTAACTAATCCAACCTTTATCTTACCCGCAGTGGTTAGTGTACTTTTTAATAATTTTCATAAATTAATATTATAGGTTTGATGTTTCTAAAATCCAAAGTTATTATTATTACTTCTATTGTTTATTTATTTTATTATACATATCCTCTCTATATATATTACAGCAGAGTTTTTCGGTCAATGTACCAACTTCTAGTGCTATGTAATTCTAATTGTCATAAGTCTGGTGATTCATAGTCCTATGTGTCAGTTTATGTTGATTCGGAGTAGTCCATTTATATATATGCTTTAATCCATACATTTAAAATTATAAGACACTCTATAAACTTAAAGTACAAATGTATTGTAAGTTAATAATTTTTGTATCTAATATCGATTTTTATATCTTGACGAACTTCAATTTGACATTCATATCACACAGATAAAATAAATAATTATTTTTATCTTTCCGATAAAACTAAATTTTTTAGCAATATTATAAAAAAAAATAACAAATTATTTATCAATCAAATAAATTCATGTATGAAGTTATCATGATATGAGTTAGAGAAATTATAATAATATAAGACGACGATCGAGTCATAGTAATGACAAATATCGTTTTAAATGAAATAATATTGTAAAGGTAACAAAAAAAAATATATTAATTTTAACAAAAAAACTTCTCTTTTTTTTTATATAAATGAAAGTGCAATTTTTTTAATCAACTCTCTATATAAAAAAATGGTAAGATCCTGTTACGGGATGATTCCGTAAGTGATTTTCATCATTAGATACACATGTAATTACGTTGTGTGAATAATTTACGGTAACAAACGGTGACGGAATCTATCATTCCCCTCTATATAATATACAAGGGATTTGTACTAGAAAAACACATACTAAAATCCATTAAATTAAGTTGACAAGAATGCAAGCAAAGGGGTAGTAGTTTATTTGATGTGACCGGCCAAAGGATATTTTTGGCCGTGTCTAATTAATATATAGTGTATGCACACACACACACACACAATTAAATAAAAAATTTGCAAAATATATTTAATACTCAAAACTTTTATACTTCTTCTCCTCCCATCTCACCACACACACACCCCAATATACAATAAAAAATAAAGAAGAAGAAGAAGAAAAAAATCTGCACTTTCATCATATATATATCATCAACTCCACCATTTTTACCCCAAGTCAAGAAAATTTAACCCCCCAACTAATCTTTATTTGCAAATCAAACCTTTATCATCACATCAAAAATTTCATATATGGCAGCAGAATCCTCAAACCCACCAAATAACCTCAAAATCACAGTTCAGAAAAACCCTTCACAGTCTCAACTGTCTCAACTTGGCATCAAATCTTGGCCCAAGTAAATTTTTTTTTTTACTCCACACAATTTATCCCTCATAGATTTCATTTCACACACACACACACACACACCCAATTGTTTGTGTGTTTATTAATCAATTATTAATTTATTTTCCTTTGTGTGTGTGTGTGTGTGTGTGTGAAGATGGGGGTGCCCACCAGGTAAATACCAGTTCAAATATGATGCAGAAGAGACATGTTACTTAGTGAGAGGTAAGGTGAAAGTTGAGCCAAGAAATCAAGAAGAGGCAGGTGAAAGTGTGGAGTTTGGAGCTGGGGATCTTGTGGTCATTCCAAAGGGGCTTAGCTGCACTTGGGATGTCTCTATTACTGTTGACAAACACTATAAGTTTGATTCTTCTTCTTCTTCTTCTTCATCTTCTTCATAATCATCATCATCTTCATATATATATAGTTCATTTTAATTGTGTCTTTCAAATTAATTCAAGATGAATGCCATCTCAAGAGGATGGAAAGGGAAAAAATTATGTAGTTATTAGTCTAATAATCTTCTTTTAATATATAGTTTTTTGTCCTTTTCATGATGAATAGTTATTGGTTAAAATGCATTTTTATCTTTATATTATTATCTTCATTTTATCAGTTTGTTTATTGTAATAGGGTGATTATACTATCATTCCGTCGGTTTTTTTAACCGTTAGATTAACTATCCACGACGGTTACAAATTCTAACGAAATGGTTCCGTAACGGGACTGTAGCAATTCCCATTGTAATAAGGCAATTGTTACTCAAACTAACATTTTTAATAGATATATATTTTTTTTAAATTAAAAAGTTAATTTATGAGAAAAATACATAAATAAAAGTATAATATTGCGTAACTTAGCAAATCAAAGAAATAACTAAGTTGACTCAATAATAATTTGTGATGTGGTTATTGTAGTGGTTTTTTTTTTTTTTTTTTCCTTTAATTGTAGTTTTTTTGAGATGTTGCCATGAAAAGGGTCTCTTCATTTATTTTCACGTTTTATTTAAGTTAAATCACTATTTATATTTTTCTACTCTATTTTTGTGTGTGTTTTTTAAAAATGTGCATGGTGTGGGTTTGGAATTTAGATGTACGTTTTTATTTTTTTAGCTTGTTTGGGGCAAAAAATCTGTGTGGCAGTCAAAGTCAAGGGAAAATTGATCGGTCAACCGCCCGTTCAAAGTAAACCACTTTAAAAAAGTAGAAATGCTTTAATTGTAAGCTTTTGACTGGTCAACTTATTGTATTTTAAACATGCATAGCCAAAAGCATCGCAACCCTTGATAGGGCAATAATAAATGGACCTTAGTGGTCATATGTTGATAATATATTAAAATTTCATTTGTGTTCATCCATGTGACTAGACATGACCACGAGCCGGTCCGGCCCGCAATCAGCCCGTAGGTTGCAGGTTCCGAGAACCGACACTATGGTTTTACGAGCCGTGTTCGGGTCCTCCTTTTTCTTTTGTCCCGGGCCGGTAGGGCCGAGACCGGGCCGGGACTGGGCCGAGACCAGGCTGGGACTGGGCCGGTTGCATGGACCGGCCCTTGGGTTTTGGCGAGCCGGTTAAAGATCACGCATTGGAGGCTGCCGGCTTGGCGGGTCGGGCTGGGTCACGACCCGTTGACTGGCCACCTCTACATGTGACTATGTGGATGGACTAAAATGGATTTTCTTTTATCAAACATCAAATTATATAGCACTAAATCACCCGTGTACAAACCGAGTAGCCAAGGGACTACAAGACAATGGGAAAACTCCATGAAGAACTCCCTACATGAGGAACAAGGTCTAACTCCCAAATTAGACAACACTACAAGAAAAACAAACAAAAATTCCAGACAAAAACCTATAAGAAAAACGAAAGAAAACATTCAAAAGGCTAGCACCAAAATGACCTTAAACAGAAAAGCAACAACTAAAAAACCTGAGAGACCACTAGGACAAGAACCAGAAAAGACAAAAGCCTATAGACTCGGAAGAAAGGAAACAATATGAATTCCATAGATAAGTAATGGATGTCCACAGCCAGCAATTCCACATTCCAGCCAAAATATGAATTCATGGGTCTGTTCATCAATTGAGGACTTGTTCGGTTCGAAATATTTTCTATTCGTATTTTGAGCTCCTGTTCGTCCTTTGAGGACCTGTTCGGTCCGAAATATATCATATTCGTACTTTGAGCTCCTATTCGGCCTTTGAGGGCCTGTTCGGTCCCAATATTTCCTCGTACTTTGTGGACATGTTCGTTGTTTGAGAACATGTTCGGTCAGAGAGATTTTATGTTCATACTTTGTGGACATGTTCGTCCTTTGAGGTCTGTTCGGTCCGGAATATTTTATGTTCGTACTTTTTCCAGACTTAGAAAAATTTGTAGTTTATAAATCCATTTTTTGAGCATATTAAGCCATTTTGAGCCCCCGTTTGCTTTGGCAGGTGTCACTCTTCTATTAGCCGTGATCAAATTGGGTATCAACACCACGTTGGTATTAATTTTGAGATCTATGTAATATTCAAATTACTAATTATATATGTTCATTCTTAGTGAACTTCCTAGTGATTTTATTTTATTTCCATATAAAGTTGATTGTCTCATTTTGTTTTACCATATTTTCGTGGATATTTAACAAAGTCGGTCGCAGTTATAAAATGATTTGGACATCAATAACAGTTTATAATGGAGTTTTTAAAATCGTGTACTATTAATAAATTATATATATCATTACTTTTTTTTTTGAAATGCAGAACTATCGAACCGAGATTTTGGAAATTAATTTATCTTTTGAAAACCGAGTTTAACAAAAGCAATAGATTGGTAAACAAAGATTGATAAATTTTACTAAGTTTATTATCACATGTTCCAAATAAATAAATTTTCATAATTTGTAAGATAAATAATATTTAAAGAATATTTTTGATGTTTAGTATTTTTTTTGAAAACACACAAATATGAAGACCGAGATTCTAAAACTTTTGATACCTTTTGAATTTGAGATTTCTTAAATATAAAGGCCAGATCTTAATGTTGTTCGTTGTTTCTAAGAAAAATAAATAAATAAAAACATGCATACTTTATATATCTTAGCCAGAATTTTTAAATAATAAAATGAACTAAAGCCCGAAATATCCTTTAATTTTATGTGGTTTCTAAAAGAAAAAAGAAAGAAAATAATAAAACTTACGATTTATGGGCTGCATTAAATTATGACATATTTTTTTGCTATTGTGTTTGGTAAGTAATTATTATTATCTATATATTATACATTATCTTTTTTTACAAAAAATATATATATTTTCATCTATTTTATATTTTTCTCCGTCACCACATCAACACAATTAAACTATAAAATAAATAATTATTATATATTTTTCAATTAAAATTTACAATTCATCCAATTAGATAATTTAACATTTTACTATCAATAATTTAAATATAAATATATATATATATATATATATTGAAAATGATAGATTTCGTAAATTAAAAACACATAATTACAACTAGACAACTATAATAAGCCAAACATTCATCTAGTTGAATCTTGGGAGGATCCCCGACAACTACGGGACTACAGTAACTCACCCACAAAACTAACAAACTAAAAACTCCCACCACTGAAGAATATTGCTCCTACAAGAGGAGACTAACCTACTACGAATCATAATAAAAACACACACTAACAGAACAATTAAAAACACCAATGCAAGCACTAGACAATAGAATAACATTCTCATCTCAACCAGCAAACAAGCCGCACACACCACGACTCGACTCCCGGAGACAACCACCCAACAGGATAAAACTCTGGCCTGAGTAAGGTTGTAAACGAATCAAATCAAAGTGCATACTAAGATATCGATTCGGATTCGTCAAAATATTCAAAGATTCGAATTCGTATTCGATTTGAAAAAGGACTTATTTCTTGATTCTTATTTGATCGTTTTGAATATTCTAAAATATTCGAGTCGATTCAAAATTCATTTTCAGAAAAATATTTTAATTAAAAAAGATTATAACTACAAAAATATTGTTTATGTTTTTCCTATCCAATTTGAGATGTTTTTAGGGCAAATTGTTATTTGGGATTTTTTTTCCTTTTTTGTCGTAAAAATATTATGTATATAGCATTGTATATAATATATTTAAATAAATTTTATACTATATATAATTTAATTATATAATTATCGTTAACGAATCGAATATTTGATAATTTCGAATCGAATATCTATAAATTCGAATTCGTTTAACATTCGAATATAAAACATTATTGTATTAGAATTCAAATTCGAATCATGATTATGAAATCGAATAAAAAAAATATTTGTTTACAAGCCTAGGCCCCCGAGTACCGAACTAGAAACTATAGTTTAGCCACAGTTAGTTGGAACCACACTAGACGACCCAAATCTTCTCTTAGACGAACCACCTCCGGATCGGAGATCGGAGGACAATACCTCTCACACCAACCAACCTACAATGCACGCAAGCCCATCAGACAACAGAAGTCGCCGTCCATCCACTAACCGCATAAGAAAACCACCGCCGATAGAGATGTTAAACGGGCTTCCCTGGCGGTTTCGGGTTAGCCCTAACGGGCTTCGGACTAAATGATCCGGGCCTAAAAAGCCCAGTTTTAAACGGGCTACCAATAAAAGGACCTAACCCTAACCCTAGCGGGCTTTGGGCTAAACGGGCTAAACGGGCTATAATAATAATAATATATAAAATAACATATAAATAAAAAATTACAACGGCTAGTTCACGATTGTTTTCAATGGCCATTTAGTATTTAGCGCTCGATATATATACAACTACATTTCATGTATGAACACCCATTACAAACTCTTAAGTGACATGTTTTTTCTCAAAATAAAAAATAAATGTTCGAACTATTATTTATAGTTACCATTTTACTTCTTATTTTTCTACGCTTTGGAAATTTTCACGATATTGTATCTTAGTGTTGAATTTATATTCTATCACTATGTTCTATGTGTTAGGTCTTTGCCTCATGTATTTTCTATTAGCTGTTCTAATTGGCTTAAATAATTTGGTGTGAAGTAGAATAACAAAATAATTAATAATTATCTTTCAAAATCATAATAACTCGCTACAACTCATAGTTATATAAAGTAGAATAGTGAAGTTGTAATATACAAATTAAACGGGCTAGCCCTAGCGGGCTTCGGAATTAAACGGTCCGGGCCTAAAAAGCCCTGATTTAAACGGGCTACTAAAAAAAAGCCCTAACCCTGTTTTTTTTCGGGCTAAACGGGCCGGCCCGTCGGGCCAAGAACCGTTTAACATCTCTAACCGCCGACCTTCAAAAAAATTTGGGAGACGAGCAAAGGGGAAGGGAAACCATACCTCAGCCTCAATAGGAGTCGTAAAGGCC